CCACCCCCACGACGCACCCACCCACCCCCACAAGCTGCTGTGGAATGGTGGAAGTGCCCGTGTTCCCCTGGAGGGTCGTCACACGAACTCGGCCCCTAGGGTCTGACACTCCTGGGGCATGGATTGGTCAGAGCGTGTCCTTTTGCTTATATGTGTCCAGGGAGAACTGACTCAGCAGCCAGAGACCTCAGTGTGAGCTGCCCAGGTGGCTCCCAGGGAGGCCCGTGTGGGCCTCCTGGAGGCGGGAGCTTGGGGGAGGAGGGAGCAGGAGCAGGACTGGGCGGAGAGGGGCTGCGTGGTAGGTGCTCCCGGCAGGATGGCAGGGGGACACTGGTGCTTGTGGACACACAGACAGAGCCCTAGTCCCCCTGTGGTCACACAGAGTCCCTGGACTCTTGTGGCCACACAGAACCCCTAGTGTCCCCGTGGTCACGCAGTCAGGGGTCCTGGTGTCTCTGTGATCGTGCAGTCAGTGCCCCTGTTGTCCCCGTGGACACACAGCCAGAGCTCCTGGTTCCCTCATGGTCAGTCAGAGCCCCTTGTGTCCCCGTGGTCACACAGTCAGATCCCTTAGTCCCCCCATGGTCACACAGAGCCCTTAGCCTCCCCGTGGCCATGCAGTCAGAGCCCCTGGTGTCCCTGTGGTCACACAGAGCCCCTAGTCCCCCCACCGTGGTCACGGATTCCTGGTGTCCCCGTGGCCATGCAGTTAGTCGGCTTCTCTTTTCACCTTGGGGCTCCGACTCGCAGGGGAGGAGTCAGGCCTGGCCCCCCAGCCTCCCTGGGGGGTCTGGTCCTTGGGCTCTCCGTGGGGCTGAAACTAGCCTCAGGCCAGAGTGCCAGAATCTTCGGGGCATGACAGCAGCACAGGGCGTCTTGATTCAGCTTCAGCCTCCCAAGCACACGCATGCATGGGCACACGCACACACACACGCAGGGGCCCACTGGGCGGCTGCTCCAGCCTCAATTTTGTGGCTTCCTGGCCTTCCCCAGGCTTGGGGCCCTTCTGGGCTGCCCGAAGGAGGGTCCTTAGCGCCCAACCTTCTCGAGCTGGGAGAGGGTGCCTGGAGCACGGGGCCCACACCAAGGACCCCTGGCCGGCTGGCTCCCAGATCCTGGGTGTCTGTGGCCGACAGTGGCTGGCTCCACACGTTTCTGTCACTCGTTCAGCAACATCCCTATGCACCATGATGGCGCCTCTTGGGACACACCTTTGGACGAATGCCCGCAGTTCCCAAATCCCCAAGCTAGGGCAGTCAGGCCCGGATCTGAGCCCCCGTGTTTGCTGGGACCTGGGTCCCGGCGGCCAGGGCCTGGGACGGGGGCTGCAGAGTGGGCGGAGCCGGGGTGAGGAGGAAGTGTGGTGGGGCTGCATGGTGGGCGAAGCCAGGAGCGGAAGGCCTGTGGCGGCCAGGGCCAGGGGGCGGCGGCATGGTGGATGGGCCACGGGCAGAGGTAGGGGTCCGGGGAGGAGCTCACTGTGGGCGGGGCTGGGGTGCAGAGGGCGGGGCCCGATGCAGAAGGCGGGGCTCAGGAAGGGGCCCACGGTGGGTGGGGCCAGGGTGCGGAGGGCCTGCAGAGGGCAGGGCCTAGAGAAAGGCTGCCGGGTGGGGACGGCCGGGCTGGGTGGAAGGGACCCGGGGAGGGGCTCACGGTGGCCAGGCTGGCTGAGGAAGGAGGGACCTAGGGAGGCTCGCGCCGTGGACAGGCCAGGCTGCAGAGGGTGGGGCCCG